AGAAAACGTTCAAATAAATTGTAAGAAAGAACGTAAAGTGTCAGTGATACTGTACAAACCCCCAATTACAAAGATCCCAGTTCGCCAATATGGCGCCCAGCTGCGTGTGCAACCCTTAGTGGCGGCCATATTGGAAATTTCCAGCGAACACTTCAATTTGAAATATAACTATTTATACAGAATAAAATGTTTTCTGGTTATCACGTTCACTAGATTATTTTCTTAAATTTCGTGGCAGTAATTCTGAATCACCCTGTATACCGGCCAAGTAACAGAATTCTCGTGCAGATTTCTAATTCCATGAATATTCCCATAGGTTAGATCAGTATCACGTCGAACGATCTTCGAGCACAGTTAAATGAACCGTAATTGAATAACCGTAGATTCGCGTTATTGCCAAATCAACCTGTCCGAAGGCGGTTCGAAACTGTTCCGTGGGCAGATGAAACGATCTATACACGGTGATCGATCATTAAACGTTAGCTATCGACTCGATGTCGCTTCGTATTTACGTCGTGTGATTATAGAAGCATGAAAAACGGATGAATTCCAAGAATCAGTGAGGACTATTAGGTATTTCTCGTCGAGCCCGTAGGACGCCGACGGTTATGTCAAGCGGAAATATCCCGGATATACGACGACGAAAGGTGAAACGTCCGTGGCGGCCGTGTACCGGATCGTTCGGGGCCTCTGAATTCGAAAATCTGGAGCACGCCGCCGAATGATTTACGAACCGGAATGGCGGGAAACCTCGTGTACCTCGGGCGGTTTCGGTGGACTCCTCAGACGTCGGGCTCTCTAGGCTCAGAGCAAAGAATTCACTTTCATCCGCAAACACACGTACGGCTCGCAGCTTAACCACCGACCACCAATTTTTTTCACTAACAACATTTGGACACTCGGCGCCAGAGTGGCAAAAGTCCAATCTTTTTCAAAATCGTGTTGGATACCACCATTTCACTATTCAAGTTTCCAACCATATCTAGTCATTTCGAATAATTTCTATTTTACTTACCGAGCCATTGTTCCCAAACTGGACTACAGCGGCGAAAACAAACACGAAACGATTCCTGCTATTAACTTTTACGGCAAAAACACTCCAGTATTTACATGCAAAAAAAATTCTTCTTCTCTGGCGCCTGATGCTTTCACTCGCAGAGGCGTCTCCACACGCGCGATTTACGAGCTTTTCGAGGTAAAACCCAGCAGGACGATCGTAACCTCAAAGTCTCGTTCCGAAACGATTCCCCGCGAAAGTCTCTAGAATCCTACGGTGACTCGTGATTCGACGAGCGTCTCAAATTTCAAACGATCCCGCGAAAATTCCCTCTCGAATTACGGTGACCTTACAACGACCTTGGGACAAGGGTTGCGCAAGCGATTACGCGTCAACGACACACATCCGCGTAAAATCGTGTCGCTTAACGAGCGATAAAACTTTTATTCGGAAGTTAACGAACGCGCACGGCTCCCGTCTAGACGCGTGTGATTAACGAGGGGTTTCGTTGGAAATCACAAACCGTCGAAGGAAGCTCATTTCCATTCGCGGCGGAGGCAACACGCTGTGATTGGCAGCGACAATTAGTTCCGCGATTTTCCGCGGAAACGTTCCGTTTGGATGCGATTTTTTTACGGGTGCTTTCGACGCGGAGAAATTCCTTTCGATTGTTTAATTAGGATCGTGGAATCGAGGCTTTGCACGCTCACAGTCGTCTATGCGTACGAAAGAAAAAGCACATCGTGTTCTGGAGATTTCAACGACTTGCGTTACGGATCTATATAGGATGGTCGACTACTGACGCAATTTATTTTGACAGACCACTTGTCAAAATCAAATAGAAAATTACACGGTAAACGTAGAGCACGAAAAAATGGTCGCTTAAAAACAATACGTTTTTACTTACCTTGTAGCAGAAATAATGACGAGTGGCGCCTGCATTGTAACCTTGATTATCTTCTTGCGACACTTCAGAAAGGGGCACACACGAATCGCAGTTGCACAATATTAAATTTGGTTACTCGGTTCGAATCCACGAGGGACACCACACACGCGCACATACGCGGAATATACACTAGATTAATTAACTGAAACTACAGTACAACTCAGGAGAATAAATAAATTGAATTGATATAATAAAAATCCGAGGGTCATTTCGCGCCGACTAGATCCGTTTGCGTTGACGTCTGCCACCGAACTAAGGGGATACTCTGCCAACACAACAGACAAAAAAGTAATCAAAATACGTAAACAGCGAGTGGATATAGGGCATCTGTCCTTCGGCAGGGTCGCCAACGCTGGCGAATGACCTGCGTAGTTGTGGGATTGTCAAGTGGCAATAAATCAAAAATGATGTTAGGTGGTTTCAAAATGTTAAAATGTTCTCGCGAATCGTTTATATCTCAGGTAATAAACACAAAAAGACAACAAAACATTTCTTTGGTAATTTTTAAATAATTTGAGAATAAAAGGGTTGAGCGTTCGCTACAGCCTGTGGCTGGATCAAGTCTAACCTATTGCACTGTATTGCGACAGGTGGATGGTAATCGAATTTTTACCTTCGATTTCAAGTTTCGACCTTAAGTAGCTTACAAGTCGACTTTTCAACCATGAAAATTAAATGGAAGAGAATTCTGTAATTACCTAAAGACGTTTGACTTGCTAACTATAAACACCTCAAATTTCTCAAGAAATTCAACTGACTATGCATTCTCACTTATTGTAACAATTTCAAGCGATCTAACCTAAAATTAGCATAAGTGCAGTGCAAATTACATTATTACAGTTATGACGGTACATTTAAACGTAAAAATACGTAAAAAACAAGTAAACAAACTAAAATTTATGGTAAGATATTCCTAAATAGATTCGACGAGTGCATAGTCGTCTTCCGCGGTTATCGGGTTAAACCACCGACCTTTTAGTTCCATGTTTGTCGCATTGCAGGATCATCCGCGGCCGAATTATGATACAGAGCAAAAAACACGAAATTTTCTCTTCGTTACTGCTCAAGCAGTTGTTCTTTTTGTCGAGGGCCAATTGCTGTACCCGGCGAACGCGCGCGTGAAAGGAAAAGCGGCGATGGTCCAGGCCCGGGGGCCATCCGGAAGAGAAACCGACGCGGCAGACGAGCCCTGGCGCCGTTCGATTAAATCGTCTCGAAGAAACACAAAAATACGGAAAATATGGTAGAAAAAGGTCAGATCGATTCATACACAGTAGGTACGATCACGTTCGATTTCTTTCCACCTTTCTCGTTGTTCGGGTGAATCTGGAGCACGAGGCATAACCTAACCTTGATACATAACCTTGCCGCGCCGTGAACTTCGCCTTCGGTCGGAACGGGGATCAAGTTAAAGGCACTTGGGGGAACGAGCAGCCGGCTGGCTTGCTCGACCGGATCGCGTTCCCGATCACTTTCTCCGGAACGATGGGCCACCGGTGGTACAAAGAAAGATCGCCTGGCCATCGTTGGAGGTGGACACCGCTGTGGAAGAAGGAGGGCGCTCGTAGCGATGGGACCAATTCCCTCGTGAGACTTACAGAATACTGGAAATATTTATTGGATCACTGTGAAATTTTCCGTAGGAATACAGTTGATATTAGGTGCAGAAATTAATTCGTAGCCTTGTTTTCATAGATTTGTCGTTTATTTACAAGAAAACCAGAAGTACAGTCTGATCTTGAAAATATTGCCCATCACTTTCTACAGATTTACTAAACATTTCTGGGGCAGTTGGTCAATTCTCTCTTGAAAAAATCACGGCGGTTTTGAGTTCATTGTAAGGGCTAACAAATTAATTTGCATACCGAGTGAAATTATAATTTGAATGGAAATTGTTTTGGGGAACATAGTGAGCTACATATTTTTCAAATAAATATCTGTTTCAATTGATTTTTCTAGTGTTAATGATAAAAGAGGTGTTAGTAATAACGTGTTTAATATCGGAGCGATGGAACGAATATTTCCAGTACTGTAAATACAGGGGGCTAAAAAATGGAAAATGTTAGGAAATAGTTGTTATGCAGAGACTGCAAGCGTTTATTAAACTGTTTGTTAATGAAATAGGTGTACGTAAATTAAGTAGGAATTTTATTGGATATGTGAATTATAAAATTCGAGCATTGTTAATTGTTTTATAGAATGAGAATTAAGTTCGTTAATAAATCACTCTGCACTGTTGATTCAGTCGCCATTTTGGTATCATTTTGGTTCAATTTAATCTAATTGTTCCGACTGTTAGAATGGAGATTCCTGGATGATGAATCATAAGAAGAGAGGATCAGATCTATGGGATCCAGAAATAATATTGGCTGTTTTACATTTTGCATTATGTCTATCATGAATCAGGAACCTCGAGTAGTTCTCCAAACCGTAAACGGCGGTCGGCGTCATTCATTTGCATGAAACGTTAGACGCAGGAGTTACCTAATAAATATTGAAATTCGCCGTCTCGGATGTGTTACGTCGGACATAATTTGAATATGTAATTGAGTTAAAGGTTTTGTTAAATATTTCGGAATTTTTCTTACACCCTTACCACATCGACGTCCGCCATTTTGAATTCATTCGAATCGATATTAAAAAATGTACACAAATCCACTGGATTCGTTTAAAAAATTCACTGAAATTCATTCGATTTCAAAAACGAATCGAAGGCTCGGTCCCATCGCTACACGAGAGCGAGGTACAAGGTTTCCGTAACGCACGTCTGTCGTAGGCCACCACCATCACCGGCTCCGTTTCCTCCCAACTGTCGGGGACTTCTACCACCTCCACCTCCTCCTCCACCTGGTACGATTTTACCACCACCTCCGCACCCCACCTGGCCCGGGCACACCGTCGCCGGGGTCCACCTTCCTCGCCGATAGCACGCCGGGGGAGAATACGCGCCTATATAACTACGGCGTTCCGCTGATTGGGCGAAGTAAGTTACGTTTTCCTGCACTTAGGGGAACAAGAGTACGCGGCCCGAGCCCAACGGGCGGATTGCGAGCAAATATGAGGATTCGCACGGGATACGCGGTCAGTTCGTATAAACAAACTAAGTTTTGAATCGTTTCGACGAAATTCCATCGCGTCTTCCTCTCGCGAACGTGGTCGTTCTTGAACGTCACGGGTACCATTTTCGGTACCTTTTGTTTTTTTTTTTTTCGGGAACGTAATCTGGAGTAAGTAGTGTGTGTCGAGATCGGCAAACAGTTGGCCCCCCGTGGTGCTGTCCGAAAATGGTACCGAAAAGTGCCATTTTTGTATTCTTCTTATAGTTCATCGATCGGATGAACGCTTCGTGCTCCAGATACTTAGTTCATATGTGTAGTAACTTTTTTGGGTAGATTTTGGTATGGTATTTGTTAATTATGATTGATTCTTGATTGAAATTTCAGGCCATCGTACAATTTCGTTCACGAACGACCATTGTGAATCGAAAGTTTTCGAAAAAAAAAAAAAAAAAGGAAAGAACCAACGAGAATCCCGAACGATATTAATGCGCGAAAGTGAATGTCGTCTGCTTTCTTTTATTTTAAATTCCCCGCTTTGTGTTTGGAATATTTTATACGGAAACGATCTTCTTTTTTTTTTTCTCTGAACTGGAACTGCAAGTACGGTTCACTGTCACTCCGCCGTTTGTCGAGCAGCGTGTAACTTGATTATCGATGGACAGCGAGTTTCGAAAGCGAACGTCCATAAACGTACAACAGTTTCGAACTCGCACTCTCGACTGCTTCGTATAAAATGTGAACGACTCTTTTCGGGGGCCCGTGTAAACAGGCCGTTGTTCGAGCGTTCACCGCGGTGGCCCCACGTGTCTGTGTATGCATATGTACAGATTTACGTATTGTGTTTGTACAATTTGCAAATAACTTAATCGCCGGTGGCAGCAAAGATTTACCGAGTTAAACACTGACCGGGCACACACACTCTTTGTTGTTCGACTGAACGGTGAAATTCTGTAAATTTGACGTGGTTGAATTGTTTACAGGCTGCACTAGTTGTGCTACTGCAGGCCGCTATTGTCGCGAGCAAAGCGTTGGACCAGAATCAGTTGCAGCAGCAGTCTCAGCAACAGTCTCAGCGACAAATACCGTATGTTTTTCTTTTTCTTTTCATTAATTAATCGAACATAATAGACAAGGAAATGGGTGAATTTTTTAAATGCAGCGACACATGCAGTAAACAAATATCAAACTTCATTTTTTTAAGTGCCACTACTTTTTTGTACCAACGTGTTTCCCCCCCGTTAAATAAATTATTATTATGTTTGAGGAAATTATAATACATTCGTCAATATTTTCATTTCCGTTCACTCATTTCAGGGGAGACTTTGTTTTTAAGATTTTGAGTTGCTTCCCTTGTCAATTCTCCTGTGAATTATAAAAATGATGAACTTTTCTACTTGCTTAATTTCTAGTCTTTGATTCGAATGGACCGAAAATTTGAACAACAGGATTCAACATATGTACCTCTAAATCAGTTTAATAATTTTATACTGCGATGCGTAATATTTTAATCCCTCGACAGTATGGTCATAGATACCATTTAGAGAAGAAACAATCTCTCGTAACACCGCCACAGATACTTATCCCCAGAGACCGGATCCTTTGGATCAATTTTTCAAATAAGAAATTTCATCAAAAAATTCAATGAAAAAATTAGATTCAATAAAAAAAGGTAGACTCGATAAAAAAAATTAAATTCACTAAGAAATTAGATTCAACAAGAAAATGAAAGTCAATACAAAATTCGTCACAATAAAAAAAAGATTTCGATTAATCTTAAAAATTGTTTCACGCAGATATGGTACAGCGGCTCAAAAGCGATGGGGTGGTGACTTGGGGGGTGGCGGCCATGGCGGCGGTGACTTCGGCGGTTACGGAGGTAGTGATCTCGGCGGTGGCGACTTGGGAGGCCACGGTGGCGATTTAGGTGGCCATGGTGGTGATCTAGGTGGTCACGGTGGTGATCTAGGTGATCACGGTGGTGGTTTCGGTGGAGATCTCGGAGGTGGTCTCGGTCATTCCGGTGGCAGCGACGTTGCTAGCTTCGGCCATTCAGGCGGTGGCGGCGACGTCGGCGGTGGTTACGGCCATTCAGGCGGTGGCGGTGACATCAGCGGTGGTTTTGGCCATTCAGGCGGCGGTGGCGGCGTCGAAGAACACCACGACGATCATCATGACCATCACGACAAAGGCTACTGGAAGAAAAAGCTAATCTGGAAGCCTGGCTGGAAGAAGATCTGGAAACCGGCGAAGAAGCAGATCTGGAAGCCCGCGTGGAAGAAGATCTGGAAGCCGATTTGGGTACCAACGCAGAAAGCGGTGTGGAAGGAGATCCAAGTACCAGCCTGGAAGAAGATCTGGAAACCGGTGTGGAAGGAGATACAGGTACCAGTGTGGAAAGAGATCCAGGTGCCCGCTTGGAAGAAGATCTGGAAGCCAATCTGGAAGCCCATTAAAGTGCCCGCGTGGAAGGACATACAAGTACCCGCCTGGAAGAAGATCTGGAAGCCGGTCTGGAAAGAGATTCAAGTCCCAGCGTGGAAGGAAATACAAGTGCCCGCTTGGAAGAAGATCTGGATCCCTGAATGGGTGAAGGTCGGTATCCCCGGTGAGCATTATCACGGGACCGATCATCACGGCTGGGAGTACACCAGCCATGATCTATGGAAGAAGAAGCTGATTTGGAAACCGTTGTGGAAGAAGTACTGGAAGCCCGCGAAAAAACAGATCTGGGTCCCTGACAAGAAGCTGGAGTGGAAGGAGGCTTGGAAGCAGATCTGGAAACCGGCCAAGAAACAGATCTGGGTGGACGACAAGAAGCTGGCGTGGAAAGAGGAATGGAAACAGATTTGGAAGCCTAGCAAGAAACTGATCTGGGTGCCGGACAAGAAGCTCGAGTGGAAGGAGGCTTGGAAGCAGATCTGGAAGACGGAGAAGAAACAGGAATGGATACCTGACAAAAAGTTGGCGTGGAAGGAGGCTTGGAAGCAAATCTGGGTACCTGCGTGGAAGGAGATCTGGGTGCCTGGATGGAAGAAGATCTGGAAACCTGTCTGGATATCCGAATGGTTCCCGTCGGAGGATCATCATCATCCCCATCACGGATGGGAGGATCGTAAAGATGCTCAGGCTCAAGGGACCCAGGTGGTTACTGCAACGCCCAAGCAGAATCCCACTCAGCAGCGTCAGGTCGACGAGAACAAGGTCAGGTGGGACAGGTCGTCGAAACCGGAGGTGCAGAACATTAGCCAGGATCTGGTGCCCCCGCCGCCCGCGACGCAAAATCAAAATGTCGCCGCGGCGAACTTCGCGTTTCCCAATCACTGATTAAACCCCCTGTAAGATGTTTGTACAAAAATATCTGTCCTGAGTATTTGTATCATAAGTCGCTGTATATATTACCGTAGGTTGTACGATTAAGTTCTAGAGAGCTAAGTTCTACGTTCATCGATTAATCGACTGACACGGCCCTTTTAAATCAATCCCGTTCACAGAGGTGCCCACGTATCTAATTGTATTCTTTATGTATAGTGTGTTTTTTTTACACGATGTTGTTGTTACCTTACTTTTGTTAACCGATGCCGTTAAGAATAAAGTTGGTTAATATTTTGTTAAATATGGCGGTGTAATCTTGTGCGAACCCCGATCTTCCGCTTTCTGAGGATGAAAGAAGCTGCAGGTTTATGATCTTATGGTACTGAGAGGTTTATACGGAATGTTCAACTCATTATGGATACTTGAATTACTTCCACTGATATTGAACGTATGAAAAGATGACGAAGAGAACAGTTACATGCCTCGAAAGTCTTAAAGGAGCCTTTCTGTCTCGCCAGATACAGGTTTTTGTAATGTGCAACCCTCTTTCAATAGCAGTAGAAATAATTTAAATGTTCGTAATTAAATAAACACCTTAGATATTAGTAAAAAACGGTACTATCATAGAAGTTCAATGAAAAATGGAAATGTTCGTTAAAGAAAGGATAGTTTCCAGTAGCTCAGACGAATCTAACGACGCCATGACCCTCATTTTATTCCCTCATCGCCAATAAGTGTTATATCGTTTTCTATTCTACAAATACAGCGAATCACTCGATATCTGCAACTCAAGATCTCCACCGCAACTGTACAGAAAAAAGGACAGTCAATCACGTCCCCGACGGATTGAACTTTCCATAAGAGAAAATGGAGGACATGTCGTTGATTCTAGCTATGCATTCAACATTTTATTCACCAGTACCATAATTATGTAAATCCGAAAACTCTGACATCGATCCCGCCCCTGTATCAGTCCCTCCGACAGAATTCATATTTCTCCAACGACACGTACATCGATCTTTCCCGAATTAGGGTATTCACGTCCATTTTATCGGCTGAATCGCCGATCAGAGGAGAAAAGAGGATTATTCGACAACTTTCTTTCTCCTCTATAGTGTCACCATTACCAGCGTTTAGCGTCGTCGCCCCGGCTAATCTCCGATGTTACGAGCACCTGGTATTAATAATTCGTTAACACCTCCGCATTATTATTTCGCCGAGTCATCGTATAGGTCGTGCCCACGCTCGACATGACGCAACGGCCGCGAAACCGGAGAAAGTTGTGGATCCGTCCCACTGAAGTGGAGGGGGAGGGGGGGAAGAATACAGGCTCTGTATATGGGGAGGCCTCGACCGTGGAGAAAGTGTCCGTACACCCACACACACGGACGTGAGGCCCCCCCATCGGCAATAAATTCAATTCGTACGTATCCGTGTGACGGCGCCCGTCACGGAATCAAGGCCCTCGAAGCGCGCCCGGGAGAAACTCTCGATCGAGTCGGTTCTCGCGGGTCAGACTTTTCATCACCGGTGTCGCTCGATCGGGAAGAGAAAAAGAACCGGAGAAATGTCGTGTACGCGTATTTTCTAATCGGGCCCTGTACACGCGCGCCGGTTTTCACTTTCCTCGCGGTCCTATTTTCTCTACGCGCTCGCTGATTCGCCACCTCACTCCCGTAAGCGTACACTCTCCCCCCAATCTTCTGCTGTGTTGAAGATTCGGGAATATTTTGGTGCATTTTCATAGAACATATAGTATTTTGAATTCACTGACTGATAAATATCCTGGGGGTTTCCCCGACGAGACGTTTCGCCGGATGGAATAATTAACGAGCCCGCCGGGCGAACCTGCAAGATCGCGACGGATTTCCCTCGGCGGTTCACTGAAAAGCGGAACCAGTCTGGTCGGTTTCCTTCCCATCATGCTTCTGTCTCACCCCTCCAACCAGGAAATAATCTCCAGAGGAGTTCGAAAGTTCCACTCTTATCGTGTATTCTCGTTGCACTGGATTCTTTCGTCTGTGTTTTTTTTCTTTCTCTCTTCTCGAACGCGAGCAAGAAGCGAACGACGGCCGATAAGATACGGGAAATGTCTTCAACAATGTCGCTGAGCAATTAGCTTCTGTTGCTTTCGATTTCGTCTTGGGAGACTCGTCTAGGCGGATCGTGAGATACAAGGGTATATTAAACACTTTTCCAAACTTTAAACTCAAATTGGTCGAGAATCTGCGCAGTTAAAGAGATGTCATTTTCTTATTTGTTTGCTACAGTAAATTATCGATGAGTATTTTTAATCGAATAATATCCTAAAAATGGCTGTTCGAATTTTACATTTACACATTGATATACATAATAATCTCCCGTGGAACCAGTCACGCACCCAGTGGTGGGAATGACGTCTGAACATTCACAATCAGTGCCGAGGAGCCTTCGAACAATTATCGATGATTTACTGTACTGAGTACTGAACTACATTTTCCGATTAAGAAATGTCAACCGGAAGTCGTATTTTTTAGTGAAATCACATTTCTAGCGCGCAAAAGACTTCCGTGTCGGACGGCTATTGAGCTCGTGTATTCCGTATTCCGTATGGAAGGTGTAACCGTAAGCGGCGAAGAAATTGCTTGCATGCAAAACGAACAAATAAACATTCGAGGAACTAACGACGTTTCGTAAACACGCGATGTCGGAGCTAAGCTTTTAATTCCTTCTAATTTACATTATTTCGCTATATGTATAATAACTAGACTGCGGATTTTTTGCATTTATAGCTTATAGGGCTCTGTGAAATACAATGAAAACAAAACTTTCATCGAATCCAACGAGTTTTCTATTTTATTCTGAACCCAATAAGATGCTTAAGAGGGAAAAAAAATTTCTACAATTGCTCCTGTCTTTATCAATTACTTTAGGAACTTTTATTTTGCATTAAAATTCGCAGTCTAATAATGACTATGCATCGAAGTTGTCTACAAAATTCTACAGATCTTATAAACTCAGATTTTTATGTACATCAGTGTAAATAAATTACATTTTTTTCCAATTGTTCAAATTGAAATATTGCGTCACAAAAAGGTAGAGACATTAAAAAATGTAATTTTCAATATTTCAAATGTTTATTAATAGTATTACCATTTAAAATTCGACTTCCATTGTTACAAAATCCCTTAAATGTTCATTCATTGGTGCATTTACGTTATTTACAATATTCAAGAATCAGTAGAATATCGAAGAAAGAAAGAGTATTTCAACGTTACAATGTATTACCGTATTTTATTTTACGACCTCGATTAAGTGAAGGCAAAAGAGCGATAGAATGTATATTCCACATTGTCCATCAAGATAATTCTCGACTTCGACGGCGAGCTCGCTTATCTGGGACGATCTATCTTTCGATTTTTCGCTGCATCACAGTTTCAAGAAAAAAAAAAAAGAAGAACGGAAAGATCTACAAGCGAGGCGAGGAGCGTCGGAGACCGCCATGAAAAGGATTATGTCCCGCACAAAAAGATATTTTCGTCAGAGGCCATGGGTGTCAAGCCGATAATATCACAGGGTGCCACCAGAATCGTTTTTGTTACCATACGTATATATGAGTGTGGCATAGTAACCGCATTCGAAGTCACGAAGTGAAGTATCAGTGCATCCGAAGATGTTGTGCGCGACGATCGTCCTTCTTCTCTTCCTGTTCTGCGTTTTCTGCGTCTACGACTGTCTCAAACCGCGTAATTTTCCACCTGGTGCGTCGATGGCACCATGCATTTCTAACAAAAAATCATGTTTATCAACAATCGAACCTAATTATTACTTGAAATACTGATTCTGTATAAATGCACTATTTATTCGTTTAAAAGACATTATTCTTGGTATCAATTAAAGAAATATTGCGTTGTAGTATTTAATAAAGATTGTATTGTTTAGTTCGAAACGTAGTATAGGTGTTTCTTTTAATTTGCATGGCTTTTGTGGTTCGACGCTCGACTTAGGTCCAAAATGGCTGCCGTTCCTCGGCTGCTTCCCAACATTTAGGCGACTGAAAATCAAGCACGGTTACGGTTACCTGGCGTTTAAAGAGCTGACGAGAACGTACGGTCCAGTTCTGGGCCTGAAATTGGGCAACCAGAAGCTAGTTGTGGTTTCGACTCACGATCTAGTGAAGAAAGTTCTTCTGCGGGACGAGTTCAACGGGAGGCCGAACGGATTCTTCTTCAAGGTCCGAGCGTTCGGGAAAAACAAAGGTTTGTGACTATTTGATAGTTCCTGCAGTATTTCTATTTCGATATACCAATGGTAAAATGGCATTAGGATCCGTTTTCAGGTATAGTTAAAAGCCACTCATAGAATGTACATACCAGTGCACACTGTAACAAAATAGGGAAATATCGATAAAAATTAATAACTCATTTTTCGTCACATATAAAGATTCAAGATTGTGTTTTTCAAAAAAATGTTAAAAGGACAGTTTTAACAATTTTAAAAGGATCGAAAGATTACGAACAACGAATTCTGCCAGGTATATTATTCGCGGAGGGGCCATCTTGGTCCCAAAATCGTCGTTTCACGATGCGCCATCTTCGAGCGTTCGGGTTCGGTCAGTCGATCATGGAGAAACAATCGATCCTTGAAGCAAAGCACCTCGTCGCTTATCTTCGCGGTGCCAGCGAAAAAGGTCCAATTCTGATGCACACAGCCTTCGACGTCGCAGTTCTGAATGCTCTTTGGTGCATGTTCGCCGGGCACAGGTTCGATTACCAAAACGTGAAGCTTAAAGAGATCCTCGACGCCGTTCACGATGCGTTCAGGTAAATCGCCAAAATAGAAATTTGAAAAATTAATCTTGTTTATACTAGAAAAGTCCTAAGACGTATAGATTATTCTATATTTTATAGTTAACTAATATTAACTTTTCTAGTAAACAATATTAAAGTATTTTGAACTTCGAAATTTTACGTGATATTTGTTTCTTTCGTAGATTGATGGACCCAATGGGCGGCGTTATTTCGCAAATGCCCTTCCTGCGTTTCGTGATACCCGAATTATCGGGTTATAATGAGCTGATGAGGATCCTCCGGAAGCTCTGGGGCTTCATGGACGAGGAGATCAGCGAGCACGAGAAACGATTGGCTGGAAGTTCACCGCAGGATCTGATCGATGCTTTCCTTTTGGAGATATCGGCCAATAATGGCGGTCGTGACGATACGATCTTCGATCGTGAGTAATTATTTATTATTTGTCAATAAAGAAATATATGTAATATTAAATATACAGGGGGTTTTCACAATTAAAAAACATTCTGGGAGTCACACTTAATTGAGACACCCTGTATATAACAATAATGAAATACATATATGTTATAATTAAAATTATTGTAACATTTTCAGGAGAAAGTTTGCTGGTTTTGTGCTTGGACTTATTTTTAGCTGGCTCGAAAACGACGACTGACACGTTAGCGACCACTTTGTTGTTCTCATCGTTACATCCCGAATGGATTAAAGTGCTTCAAGAGGAAATGGACAATGTTATTGGTAGATCGCGATTTCCAAATCTGGAGGATCTGTCGTCGTTACCGATGATGGAAGCGTTCCTTGCAGAGGTAAAATATTAACTGTGGATGTTTATGAAAATTCAAACTTTTGTTAAACTTCTGTGGTATCGAAAGAATAATGTTTTTTATTAGATACAACGATTTTTGGTCCTGTCGCCTCTTGGACTACCCCACAAGACCACGAAAGACGTAATCCTCGATGAATATGAAATACCTAAGGTATGTACTAGATTCAGTATAATTTATTGTTCAGTGTTCAATTATTTGTATATTTATTGTTGCAGGACACGATCATTCTTGTGGATTTGAACAGTGTGCATAATGATCCGGGGTACTGGGATCGTCCAGAAGAGTTCCGACCGCAACGATTTCTGGACGAAAATGGCCGATTCTGTCAAAACAACGCGAGCATACCCTTCAGTTTAGGCAAGTGCTTGAATTAAATGATAACTCAAAAATAATAACAATAAAAGTACCCTTCTTGACTAATTTTCATTAAATTTAATAACAATAGAACACGGCATACTCAAACGATTTTCACTATTCTTTTCTCTACAAAAATAGCAGATTTTTTCTATAAAAATACAAATTTCAGCCTTCACATCAGTTAAGGTGCAAACTAAATTTCTTTTCGAGACCTGACTGAAGCCATTTTGCTTAAAAGAGGAACTTAAATTATGAAGGATGCTTTAATTTAGAACGTGACCATTCACGTTTCAGGGAAAAGACGCTGCCCGGGAGAAATGCTCGCTCGTAGTACCATATTTTTATTCTTCGCCTACGTTGTACACTACTTCGACATCGAAATTTCGCTCGACCACGGTGAACCAGACCCGAACGGTTACGACGGTTTCGCTATAGCGCCGAAACCGTATTACCTGAAGCTCATGGCGAGATCGGACATCCCGTACTCTGCTACCACGTAAACGGAAGTGATTTTGGGCCGATTGTGAGTACCAAAAATCGTTTAGATTAACTTTTATTATAAATACCTGAATAGAATGAAAAATTACTGTACTTTTGTACGAAAACGAATATTCGAAGGAAAGGTAACAATTGGATTTAGTACCATTTCATTACCATTACCATTTTCTATTGGACTATAAAAATTTACAATATGAATTTTTATACAGATTCATACTCGTATAAGACAATTTTTGAGAAATGTCTCTTGTTTATCAAGGGACTTGGTATAATGGAAATAATGTACAAAAAGTCATAAACGCCAATGAAATTGTTTATTTGGTTGGCAGGAAATGAAGGCAACATTTGAACGTGTTTAAGGTCGCTGCTATAATTAGAAAATACGTACGTAGAACTTCTTGGTTTGTTTTTACAGGGTAATGAAGATTACAGTTTGTACAATTATTAGGTGTACCAAGAAGTAATGCCCTGTGTTTGCAATAAACTTGTAGTTACATTTAAATTCAGGGTACCTACTTGTTCAGTCAAGATGGCGTAAGATGACGAAAAGAAACAAGAAATATTATTAACGTACCGTGAATATTTAAATTTTTTCGAAACAAGTACAGAATTTACCAAAAAAAATACTTTAATAAAAATATAATAGTATAATATATATATAAAATTGCATTTTTAACCATTTATGCGAACCATGTATTTAGACAGATGTGAACAGTAATTGGCCATTTCTTTTCTACAAATTTAATATTTTATACAAAGGATGAAGGTATAATTTAATATTTTAATTTAACATTCTAACAGTCACCTGTTGTCTGGTTTCCAGCGCGAAGGGAATATTTCCCACCCAGCACTGGGGCTCGATATAAAAGGACCGAGATCGCCACGTGGCGGCGCTCGACGAAGGTACATTTGGACTTCCGCGAAACGAGATGATTCCGTGGAACACGTAAAACGACGAGCGTAAAGCGACTTTCACGCGGAAGGAACAATAAACAATATCGCGAGGGGGAAGAAAAAAATTTGTTGAACTCAAACAAGCAACCCGTCGATCCATCGGGTCGTCGAGCTACACTTTGAGCAAAGATCGTCGGTTTATAAACGAACGAGAAAACATTCGTGTTACGAGAAACATGGAACAATACAAACTGTAATTACAATACACTATATTATTATGTACCGTAAATAATTACATTAACATTTTTAAGCGTTAGGTGTTAAGAATGACTGCTTCGCATAGGAAATATTTTTTTTTTTTTATTTTTTATCGTCTGTCACACATTACAATGTAGAACTGAATCTGTCCTCTTAACCGGGATTTTGATAAACAAAATATCGAAAAATCGTTACTACATATAGGTATATACATATAGATATATATATAATTATGTAACATATTCTATAGTAGAAAATTACTGATTCGTTCAATTAACAAGGAAGATTTTCTTCAGAATTTTATGAAAACTAAACTTTACTGCAGACCTTTACCGATACGTTTTATATGTATTATATATTACTTTAAAAAATAGTATTTAAAAGGTAGTAGATTATTTCTAAAATTTTCTAAATCGTATTTTCGACTGGCACCGCGTGCAAGTGAAACGATTTAATTATCGTGGTACTAGCAATACCTCGTATGGTTTCGGCGATATCGCGAGACCGGGAACGATTTCTACGGATGTTGGCCCCTTTCCGGGGACCGGAAGTAGCGTGAACTTCTGCATGACGCCCACGAACAGGAGGAATAACGCGGATTGAGCCAGTACTTGACCAGGACATCTTCTTTTTCCTGAAATAGTAAATAATGATACGTAGTATTGGTCAACAAAGCAAGATCTTTTTACAAAAACACTGCGAGAAGATGAAATTAATGTCCATAATTATCAATGCTAACATTGTGAACAAATGACAACTTTCATGTAATAAAAATTTATGTTCCATTAAGATTTTATTGGGTGGAATAAAATCTAACGAATAGTTTTTCTATTAATAATACGTCGAACGGACAGATGACGAGACCAATTAACAAGTTTACGTTCGTTTCCCTTTCACGCGAATGATATTTCCGTCTTTCCTGGAGATATCCGGAAGTGAGCGGAGCGAAGGTACCATCTTGCTTGTGTCGTCGCGCGCAACTGCGTATTAATGAAGTGTCATTTGTACGGGCAAATGAATCTACAATGTTTTCGCGATCCTAGGCTCGTCTGACAATCGAGCATAAACAATTGGACATTCAATTTAAAAAAACAAAGGTAACCTCTATATCTTCTCTACGCCTCCACTTGCAAGAATACAATTTATACCATATTATGTAGTTTCTTAAACCCTAAAACTTCTGTAAGTAACATTTTCTTGTATTGTTTAAAATAACCAAAATATTTAAGTGGACAGAGTTCATGAAACACACTCTGTATATTCAGACGTATTCCTAACGAATATTTTTGAATTGCGCCCTCTTGTGTACGAGTGCTAATACTTTATACGACTTCAGTTGACTGCAGTTTCCTTCAGTTCCCTTACTGCGCACGCATGAAGTACGTCTCGTGAAACATTCTAAGGTTATCTCGTGCTCTTCATACCGTTAGTTTAAAACCTTAATAAATAGTGTGTGTTACATTACGTGTCCCCATTCATTTCATACACGCGACACAACAACTAGACTTTCCGTAATCAATATTTCTTTGTGGCCAGTGGTTAATTTCCAATTGACAATTGACAACTCCTCACCTCTCCCGAAGACCAAGTTGTTTGGATCCGCTTTGTATGCTCCGTCCATGATATACCTGTCCGGTTTAAATTCGTTCGGCTTGGAATACAAAGTCGGATCCATCCCGACCGAGTATATATTTATCACGATGGTGCTTTCCTTCGGTATGCTGTAATTCTCGAGGTATGTGTCCTGAAGAACACGCCGCGGCCCGATCACAGGGAACACCGGCCACATACGTTGCGACTCGGTCATCACCGCTTCCGTATAAGGTAACCTATGAACAATAAAAAATATTTGACTTTCTCGCGTGTTAGACGTTTCACTAATATCTCCATCTGAAATCCGCCTTTTACTATCCCACGCGCGAATTCTACTAGGTATTGGCCATTAGTGCCCTAGAGTCGAAGAATAATAGACTGATAGTGAAAAATTAATTACGTCCTATTTAGCTACAAAAAATAATATTTTCATAAACATTCTTTTTAAAACAAAATATCTAAACAGTCTACTGAATTAAAATATGTAATTAAATATCTTTTTTAATTCTTAAAAGAAAATTCAGATCTGAAAGGGTTAAGGTATGGCGAATTTAAATCGAACGTTTAACGTGGAATTTTCATTTACTTCGGTCGATCCAGTAAATCTGGAAGCCTGTCGGACGCTATTATCGAGTCGATCTCATTGTGCACTTCACGCTGCACATCTTGGTACACCACCATACTGAGGAACATGAAGTCCATCGCGATCGCGGTGGTTGTGGCTCCGGCGAGGAATAGATCGACCAGCAGCATCACCAGCTGATCGTCTGAAAATTCGAACGAAAAAAAAGACTGTATATAAAAAATTTAAACTTATTTATCAAAACCCTAGTCGGTACATTTCTACGATTTTTAAATTATAGTAAAGTAAGATTTTTTAAGGTTACAAAAAAAAAAGATCGCTCATCACTAACCTAATCAATTAGAAAAAAATGAATGAAGTCGATGCTAATGAAACGAACAAATAAGTCTCCTACCTGTGTAAACGTTGGTGTCTCCTTTGCCGTTCACCATCTCACGAATGAACTCGTCGATCAAGTCTGCTTCGCTACCCGCGACATAGTTCTTTTTGTGCTCGTTGATGGTCTCCTACGTGAAAAATATCGCTCGATTGTCACACAATTAACCTGTTAACCGGGTGATTTCTCGCCGAGGAACTTCGAAATGGACAGAATTAAAAATGAATAACGACGATTTAATGTGACTCTGCATGCGGTAGACATAGGTTACGATGTAATTTACACTACCACATTGTAATTGCGATCGAATGTTACGATCTTTGAATGCATTGGGAAATCAAAATTTTTCCAAAGATACAATTGAAGGTAAACGACGAATTAACTCGTTTTCCTCGGTTGACAGGTTACACTACGGATCTTTATGCCATGCGATTATGGTACAGCACAAGTATGAAAACTTCAGAAAAACCAATGGAATTCTTATCTAATCTTTCGAAGAGATTCTACCCTTGTACTCCTAGGACCAGGTATGTAGGAAAAAACTCGATTGTCCATTACATGTTCATAATTTGTAAACTTATTATTCCGTTTGGGTCAAAGGTTACCCACCCATGGGAGCTCTGGCATGCGTATTTGAAGTACAGTAGATTGTAAATTTAATGCCACTGTCGGGGCTGCGAGAGTAAAAGGGCATTAATGTGGCATTAAAGTTAGTCTACTGTATGTCAGTTTCGCATAAAGATCCGCGACAAAAGTATTGGATTCGGACAAAGACCCACCATTAAGAAATCCTTGAGTTCCTTGTTCAGCGCAACGAGAAGGTTGTAACCGGAGGCCTCAGGTGCAACGTAACGAATCCAGGGGTAATTGGAGAGAACCCCGCCAACCATGTCGAACACGCACGCGCGACGTTCCATCAAGGCCATGAAGTACTCTAACCTGCGGGGTGCAACGTACATATATGGAAAGACAATGAACGATCACGAATCATTGCGCTTCGAACGCGTGACCCACTTGTTGGGCAACGACTGGGCTACCTTTCTTTAGCGACAACATTAGGTATTGGTTTATCCGTACCTGACTCCCTCGCAGAATCGCTTTCCCGTTGTCAAAGCCCATAGAACGTTTATTACAGCAGGTGTTAGTATTGGTTTCAGCCGTTTCACACCACCGCCCTTCAGGCTATCCAGGACCACGACCAGCTCGTCCTTGATCATCTCCGACATCCCCCGTCCTCCGAAGCCAAAGTTCTTCAGGGTGTTTACCATCCAGCCGCGTAACTCGTTCCAATCTTGTCCATCGTTCATGGTGATACCTTGCGTCGACGACAAGACAATTTACATTCAATTCAACGATCGTTAACCATAGAACACTACGGTGAGAATAATTTCTACGAAATTCCCTCTTTATCTATCGTGCAACTGATCGTCATTCGATCCAAAAAGAGAAGATCTATTTTCAAGCATTTTTGGGATTAGACGAATTTACTGATAAATTATTGGCCAATAATTTATGCATATTTAGATATTAGAAACAAGATATTTGTTTAATTTAATTACAATTTCAGGTTCGATATTAAGGAAACGAAAACTAGATAAGGAATCGAATATTGCCATGGATACACAGGGTGTTAATAAAAAAATACGAGACATTCTCACAGAATGGATTCTAGACATCAATTAGCACAAATTGGGGTGTTTCGATGTCCTTTTCACTTTGATCATTATTTAAACATATTTACAATATATACCTTGCTTCTTCCCCAAGTTACGTATCTTAATGAACTCGTTCCATGGCCGGCCGGTGAACTCCTCGCTCTTCAGTACCGTGAGAATCTCTTTGCTCCCGGAAACGACCACCACCTTCTCGAAGCCGAGCTGCAATGTTATCACGGGGCTGTCGTATCGTCTGCAGAGCTCAATGAACGCCAAATGCTGCGCCCCGCACTGCCGTGTCAAACGTTGCAGCATAGTCCGATTGCCGTCGATGGGCCAGGCAAAGGGCCCTGTGAAATAATTTCGGTATACTTCATCGGTGTAAAAGAAAAAAAAACAAAGTAAGTATTGCACAATGTCTAGATACATTCCTAATAATAATGTAATTTTATTTTTACGGGAAGTCCCTTTTGTTATATGAGAGTATTACAGAATATACAGTATAGTACGGAATATTGTCTACAAAAACTATTTTAAATTATAGAGTATGAGTATACAGGGTGTCCCAAAATAGCTTCGACTCCCGGAAATAAGAGGTTCCTGAGAAGACTTAAAACAACTTTTTCCTTAGCAAAAATATTATCCGAGGCTTTGTTAATGAGGTAGTATTCCCTACCAATCAGAAGCTTCCGCGGTAGCATTGGCTACGCGTTGCGATTAGTTTGGGACACCCTATAGACTGTAGAGTCGCACGTATAGTAAGAAAATGTGAAAGAGAACACAAAGATAGGTAGAGCTTAAGGAAAAGGGAGAAGAGTGTTGAAAAAAGTAAGGAAGTTGGAAAAATTGTTAGAGATAATGAAAGAAATGACTAATATGTCATGAAAAAAAAGTGTCGACAATACTGATAAGCTCGTATAATGTTACATGTTACTGATGAGTCATTAGTACATACAACATGTAACATTATACGAGCTTGAACAAATTGAATGCAATCACGAAATGAATTCCTTTCAGTTTGGGATATTTTAAAAGATTTATACAAGAAGGAAGCGTACGTAAAAGTACAATACCTGTAAGTGATTTTTATAATCTTTGATTTTATCAATCCGAATCACGAAAATAATGAAATTCGTTTATCCATTTTCGTTACCCTATCATAAATACAAATTAAATTATATCTTGGAAAGAAGGATATTTTCGATCTGTATCTCGAAAATAAGGAAATCTTCGACTTCTATCTCGAAAATAAGAAAATTTTCAATCTGCATTTCGGCTACAAAGAAATCTCCCACCTATGTCTCAAAAATAAAGAAAATATCGATTTACACGTCAAGAATACACGGTCACCAAACCCACGTTTCACACGCTACCTATCATCTGCATACCAAAACAAACTACAATCCACCCATCCTGAAACTTCGTCTTCCAATTCCTCGTACATCACGGTATATTTACATAACACACTTTTCCCCATGATCTACTACTATACACCGTACAGCCACGTTCGAGCCCACGACACCCTGTGCTACGTGCTACCCACAACTGTTCCCATCGGGTAGTAAACGGTACGCACTTTAGCCGAACTCGAGCGACGCCAATCGAACATAATATAACTAGTACTCTAGATCTCGTCACATCCAACCGGAGCATCTGTGTTAATTTAGACAGTTAGTCGACTCGGATCGTACGCCCGTTGACCCCACGAGCAGTTGATGCGTGTAAATCTTATTCCCGTGTTACCTGGCGGTTGATCCTTCGCCTTCGACCTAGTCAGCGCGGCGAACACCATCAAAACCACGATCACCAGCACCAGTACCACGGTGGCGGACATCACAAGACCGGTTAACCGAGACTCTGTTTACCAAATCGACGGTACTTGTGTACACTTCCGAGTATCGACGAAAAAAAATGTAAAAAAAAAAAAAAAAAGTAAAAATGGAGGATCTCGAACCGTCGTCAATAGAAGAGATCCGCGCGCATAGACCTGCGCGTTATATATTTATATATCGTACAATCGCGATCTAGTTCGGTATATAACGGGTCCGATTCCTTCGACCCTGATGATGGTCTTTGCACCGATGGTAACACAGGGTGGGGGTTCACACACACACGGTATTTCGACTCCTGTACCGTTTCGACTTTTTTATTTCAGTTTTTAACGGCCCAGACCACCAGGCCGATAACGCCCCCTTGGCCTTCCCCCGATAAACCCCTCGGATCCCCTGAATGTGTAATATAAACCGACCACCACCCGTGTTCCGTTCTCTCGGCCCCGCTCGCGAGGGCATTCGATGCCGATTGAAGAAAGACAAGACGACCACGACGAGAGTGTTGGCGGTGCTTCAATGAGATATAGTTAGACAAACTGTATTCAGGCTGTCATCGTTCCGTGGTGTCGATTACCCACGACTGGGCCACGGGGCCATACACACACTTGAAAGAGAATGACTGTTGGGGTTACGGAGAGGATATTTAGCCCCACGTGGACATACTTGACTTCTCCGCCTAGATAGCACACAGTCGACTTAATGACGGCTTCAATGTGTAAAATGGACGTCTTTAAAGCGTTATGTGCTATCTGAGCGGTCGTAGAATCGAGCTACTATCGACGTAGGGGAGACCAAGGGGTTGGTAAACCAGTTTTTCAGTGTTTGCGTTGTAAGGTGGTTCCCGCAAATTTTTAGCAATTACAAATTTAGTTGAAAATTCAACAGAACATTCTTAACAATAAAAGATGGTGGAAAATGGCCAAATCTATGATTCCTCCGACACCTAAGATATTATTACGACATTATTCTGTAAGTTCCAAGGAATTGGGAAAGCACAATTTATTGAGCAGAAATACGATGGTAACAATACGAGGGACAAATTATTAGTTGTTCATTCGAAATAGTCATAATCTCTAAACGGTTGCATAATGGGGAAAAACTCGAAGGTTTTGTAGATAAGTATCTGTATTTTTTTCGTATGTTAAAAAGCAACGTGAAGACCGCTAATCAACCACCAACGAAAATAATAAATCAACTATGCAGATGTTAAAAAAAACGTGTCTATGATATTACTATAATGTATAATTAAACACATTTTTCTGAATACCTGCGTCATTTGTTTATCGATTTTTATGGCTGTTGATTGATGATCGTCACCGTTACTTTCTCATACCAAAGTTTTATCTCGAAGACCTTCGAATTTTTGCACTTCATGCATTTGTGCAGAAGTTATAATTGCTGAAAAATAGTGACTTCCAATTTGTCTCAGCTCGTTATCTGCATTTGTCTACAACTTCCCTATCGTATTTCCGGTAACTATTTATGCTTACCGAATTCCTTGAAACTGAGCCGGATAAGGTGTCCGTTAATGAATTATGTAAAATTTTCCTTAATTGTATCGAACGGAGAAATACGTCAAATGTGACGTACTTTCCACGGCTACATGTTTATGGGAAAAATATGAAAATACGTGTCATAAATTTTCAATGCTACAGTTAGTACTATTTCTGTATCCTGTATTCGATTTGTAAGCGGAAAGTTTTAAGAAAATAGTAAAAAACAAACGCAATATGATGGGTGAACGGAAAATGTAAAAAGCAATAGGGAAAGAAAAGGGAAAGATTGTTTCTTTGGAGAATACTTTAATGTATTTAATATAATGATCATAAAAATTCGTTGAACAATTTGCCTAGTTTTGGTATTTACATAATATTCTATTGTTTAATCATTTGAATAGAAAAATGTACATAGAAAAAATATCAATTGTAATGGGTAAAATGTGAATTAAATACCATTCCCTTATATAAATTTGTTTATTTTACAAGAAATTGTCAATATAAACATTAGAATGCACATAAATTCGTATATCCACGTGCAGATACGAATATACACATTAATTATTAATATAAATCTATTATACACGGTTTGTAAATAACTGTGCCATTGTTGTCCAAAAGCGTCAACCATTTTCTTCCCTCTAATGGCATCCGATTTCCTCTTCCTAGCAATTTTCTTCTTCTGTTGCCTAGCTATCTTACGTTTGGCAGCTAATTCCGGGTCCGTTACAAACTGCAAAACAAGAGCATTTCGATGCACTCGTAATCATAACCTATAATACAGTGTCAAATTCAATTTTTAAAAATCTACCTGCTGCGCTCGTATTTTCTTTCTCTCTGCTTTCCTGATATCCAATTTCTGTTGAACTCGACTTAGTAACCTAGCGTACTCTTCGTTACCCAAACGTTTCTTTATCATTACGGACGCTTCTTTGGCCAATCGTCGCAGAACGACGTTATGTTCTTCTGTGGTTGCCATTTCATGTGCAATGGGCGACATGATGTTAAAAAGCACTGGAGTTAAATATTCCATGGGTATAGTTGCCACTACACCGGCCACCCATTTGAAGAAGGCAGTACGCTGAAAAATATCACGGATTATCTTCTGCCGTTAAAAAAAAAACAAAAATACAAATTCAAGCAATTCTAACGCCACGTACCACTGATTTCGATTTGGGAGCTCGCGTTATTTCTATATTCACAACTTTTCGCAGTCTTCTAATTAACCAAGGAAGAGATAACTGGTTCCTGTCTTTTTCCTTTATCTCGTCACCTTGGTCGACCGTAACATTATCGGACATTTTAATGGACTTTAAAATTCTCGCAATACAAATTAAATTCTTAATGCTTTGTTCTGACAGTTCTTCAAACACCATATCTGGTTGCAATTGGCCAACTAAATCTAAAGTCAAACTCTTTATCGTCGCGGCTGGGTCGGAATACATGTAACCGGTTTCAGTTTCGCATTTCTCAGGATTTTTCAAGAGGTCTATGACTTTATCAACGTCAAGAACGGCCAAGATGAAGCCGATCATCTGAGACGCTGTCAAACGGACCCAAGTGTGTGGGTGTGCCAATAAAGATTGACTGTATTCTGAAATGTACATAAAATGACGTTAGAATAAAGAACATAAATGATAACCATACAATGGTACAGCACAATGTTCAATTTACCAGCAAACGAACGAACAGCTTCTTTGTACTCATCGTTCTTGAGGAACGCTGTGCAGTTTGCTGATATCTTTAACAACAATTGTAAAACTTGGAACATATGATGATCTTTCATTCTCTCTGGGTCCTTAACGTTCGGTAGCATTTCTAATTTCGTATTTTCGGTTGTAGGTAATTTCACGAAACGACCAGGCTCCTCCTTGTCATCAAACTTCGCGTGGAACTGTTTCAAGAGAAGTGGTAATACTTCATTCAGGCGAGATTCAAACGTATCTTTCTCCACTGTGACAAATATGCCGCACAATTGAGCGGCCAGAGTACGGTGCATTACCTGAAACGATCAGTTCTATGAATCTGATTAGAATTCTTATAGGTTAACCTCTAATAGTTACCTTATCATCTTTCAACCATTCCACGACAATATCAAAAAGTTTACTCCTTTTGTTGTAAGGTACACGTGTTACCATTTCTTTGATGCACTTTGCGCATAACTTCCGACAGGTTGGATCATCATCGTTCACCAGCCTCGCGCCTGCCATTACAAATATGAGGCCTGATTTCAGAACTAAAGTTTTCTGAAACACCACAATCATTCCATCAGTCTGTTGACGTACACTTTACAAGGTAATCGAATGTCTATGTTTACTGTAAATTGCTTACTACTGGGAATCCCGTAACGATACTGTGAAGCATTTCTAGCGCGCTAAGTCGACCGGGTTGCATCTCATAACTTAGCTGCGTTAAATAAAATGCTATGTGTTTGTTCAAATGTTTTCCAAGGGGGTATTCCATTATGTACGAATAAAAAACGGAACGGGACTGCTGCCGGACGTGTTCGATTTCCGATGTGACGCTTAAAGCGGCAACTTTTTCCATAACTAGATACATCTCTGGGAAAAACATCTTTCTGGCAATGATGGCTTTCAGCAAGCCGAACGCTGTTGCTTGTTTGTCGCTGTCGTGCATATCTTGCTCAGCATACATGATCAAAACTTTCAGCTGGTCCACAGTGATCGTGTAGTGTTTCACGTCACGGACAATTACGGACATACATTTGAAAGCGGCCATAACGAGATCAAAATTGTCCCCTTTGCCCAAACCGGCCGCGGCATATTTGTGCAGTACGTTGAAGATGGACGTACAGATATCGGAGATTGACTCCTGTATCGACGATAAATCCAACTTGAGCAACCAGTGTAAACACTGTAAGGCTAAAGTGCTCAACTGTAAAAGGATTGCAATAACGATTAAGAAGGAACATTACGATTAATCTAATTAGTCTTTTCTTTTTCATGAAAAAAATTACAGTGCGACTAGATAAAAATTGTATAGTGTCCGAATATTAATGTTACGCACTGTATACTGATGTTTGAGTGGGCTTACCTTAACATGCTGCGATTGTAGACAGTCGCTTATAATTGGTACAAATGGGTCTACAAAAGGCGTGAACGTTGCACCGGATACCTTGTCTCGTTTCAATAGTATATGAAAGAGTTTTAAACCAAATTCAACGATGACATGAATGTTAGTATTTTTAGATGTTTTTGATGCAGACTTTATGCCCATTCTACTTTTTGGTACAGGTGGTATGAGGTAGCAATCTGGTTTCTGTTTAGACAGTGCCTCTGATTCTTTTTCGGTGTATTCTTTGCCCTTCTTCTCAGGCAACAGTTGCGGTATACTTTCGGAAACTATACCGTACAGAAACATCAGCATCTTTTCTAATGGTATAAAAGTGTTGTCGACTAAACCCAATACCACGTTCCTAAAGCATTCCACTACTTTCTGGACAGTTTTATGCGAGTGTGTTTTGACGACCACTTCTTTCAACGGTAGAATCAAGTCCAGTAAACAAGACTCTGTAATATATTCTGCTAGTATGTGAAAGATATCAAAACTTTTCGTAGACTTTGCTTCTGACACATTTTTCACGATCCCAATCACTTCCTTTTCTTCTGCAGTCAACCCGAATAAGTCTACTTTACACACCTAATGGAGATGATGTATTAATTATATACAGAGTCTGAAACTATTTTCTTGAAGTATACATGTAGTCAAACTTACTGATAATATACTCTGAAGATTCTGATTAATATCCAACTTCTGGAAATATGGTTTCAAGGCAACTAACACTGACTGCAGAGTATATGCGAGAACATGAACTTGAAACCCTTTTGTTAACAATGTGTTCATTTCCCTTAACAAATGGTGAAGATACTTTGGACCCAGAGTTATCATAATCTTCTGCAACACTTCTCGTGTAACTCGCCGCACAGATTCCAAACGCGATTTCAAAAAAGTGCACAATTTCATGAAGATTCTGAAACAAGCGCGTGGAGTTTTACAAAGGTACATCTTGTTCAATGGTTTTGCATAAAAATGTATGCGTTTATACGCACCCCGGCAAATTGGAATTCAAAATCCGTTCAGGTAATTTCTGTAATAATTTAACAAACGCAAGCGCAATGGGAACTCTCATTAATTCTTCCTCTTCGTTGTCCGCTGCGAGCCTCTTTTTATTAACTTTGTGACTAGTCTCGCGACTGGTTCTTGCTATAATAGAGCGATGAAGTTGTGGCAGTAATTCCTTGGATATACTAAACACGACCTTTTTTGCCCCATTCTGTGAAAGTACTATTTGCTTGTCCATTGCAAGCACATCCTCCTGTGCTCCCTTCTGCTCTTTTTCTACAAGTTCTTCGACACTCTCCAGATTTTCCGAATTCAAAGCGTCATCTAAGGTTTCTTCAACCTCATTAACAGTTTCTTCATTGTCCTTTTCAGCAGCCTTTTCATCCTTTTCCTCTTTCTCTGCAGGAACTGTTTTATTTTCTACAATTTCTTTAACATTTCCTGATCCTATCGATCCTCCCTCAAATTTGTACTTTGACAGATTGAAGTGGAAAGAATCTAAGATAATAACAACTATTCGAACAAGTTGCTTTTGAAATTCAATGGATCCCCTTAACTTTCCCAAATAATGCTTCAGGATGATTTCATATTGATGCCAGGGCAGAAGTCTGCACACTGTACCAACTGTTTCTATTGCAGCATCAACAATGCTGTTCTTGTGTATATAATGTTCATTGCACAAGTACGAAGAAGCCAGGGGTAGAATAAATTGTGTTAATGTTCCTGGGTTTGGTGCTTTATCCAGAGTCTTTGCTAGAGTACAGAATTTCAGCAGTGCACGACCCCTTCTGTGCATTTGCAGATGTTGCATGTTCTCAAAGAAGTCCACCTCTGGGTCCACTTTGTTCGTCAGCAGTGACAAGTCCCTCAGGACAGGATGCACCTCTGGGCATTCCATGGACATATGTCCCAAGAAGCCTATCGACTGAAGTCGTACAGCCTCATTTCTGCTGACAATTCCTTTTCTTACAATGGGTAAAATTGTACCGTCCATTAAATAACGTCTATCCAAGTTGTTCTCTCTGTACTTCTTTGCCAATTTCGGTCCAACAAGCTTCAGACACTGCCCTGCAGAATCTCTCATGGCTAGATCCGTTTCGTTCTTAAGAATGTAATAACAATTATAAATAACAGCCACACCGAATTCCAATGTAATTGCATCTTTCTCGATCTCGTTGTTAATCTCAGTAAATGCGTCCAGCCTCTTCTGAATATCCGGCTGATCGATCCATCTACGATCCCACGCGTTAAGTGCAGTTATCGTGTTGTAACTTTTAACGTGTACTTCACGAAATTCTTCTGCGGATCCCTCGGCGATAGTTTTGTAAAGATTCAGGAAAAGTTTTCGTGCGGGTATAGATGAAATTATGCCCAACAGAGGTAAAATTGCACGCAGATGAATCTCCGGTTTCTTAATATGCTTCATCAGATTTATAACTGTCGTGATTAATTCAATTATCGTTTCTTCGCTTTCGCTGGCGCCAACGCGTCTGATTAATATCGGCACGATAAGAGTGAGTAGCGTGTCGCATGCATCTGCATCCTTCACAAATTCCGAAATACGTGATAATATCACCAACTCCGTTTTGTTTACCCCTCTGTTGGTCTTCTCGAGTTTTTTCTTGATGTATTTTAAAATACTGAAAACATGCGGAAGTAGTATAGTTGATCCATAGTTAACACCGTTGGACAAGGCTTCTTCGTTTACTTCCAGTAGATTAGTAAGTACAGATGTCAGAGGGATTATAGGTCCATCAACATCCATATCATTCTCGTTTGTTTTCCCATAATCCTGTAAGGTTACCATCTTCTCGATCATCTCAAGTATAGCATTGACTACAGAAGCATGAGTCTTCGGACCCAACAGAAGCTGCATAATAAATGGGAGAGGGCTGACTAATTTGTTGTCCTCTCGGTATTTTATGAACAAAGAATAATAACGTGAGTTTTGACTCCATGCCGTGAACAATTTCAGTAAGGGAGTCGGACTGTGAATACACTCCATGGGCAACTTTTCCAGCCATGGAAAGACTGCTACGTTAAACAAGGCGTCTATTTCATGCTCACTCCATTCGTAATTCTCATAATGACCAAAGAACCTTGCTAATATCAGGATGCAACTTTTTCGTACACTTCTAATGGACGGTAAATAGCCAACATACACTTTATTTGATCTCTGGAGGACTCCGGTGACTTCGGCTAAAATGCATATCACTAAACCAAGTAGATAAGGTAACAATTTCTGTGCCATTTTACCGCCAAACTGTTCTATCAAAATCCCGAGTAAATTGATGGCACTTTGCAAACGTTTAGGTGGTATAACGTTCTTCAAATCAACTGTATTGATAATGTTCTGCGTAAGCTCCTTCAAATTGACTTTTCCATTCAATTCCAGTGACATGTATTTCCTGAAGGGTCTGAACGCCATTTTCACAAATATAATCATTTCATCTTCTTGAGTACCAGAGAGAAAACGCAAAATCATTTTTCGTCTTAAAAGTCCTCCGCCTTTGCCACCAGTTCTCAACCCTACTTTGGATACCATTTTCGCATAAAGTAGTCTCATTAATATCGGTATAAATTCAGCACGATGGTCGTTCTGTATCATGTTACTCTCTTCATCCACCTTGAAACGTACCAATTCGTTTTTCAAATTCTTCTCGCTGATCAAATTGTTCAAATTATCTTTGTACGGTAACAGATATTTGTATTTGTAAGTGAGAAGACAATTTAAGGCAGCAGTTTGGACATCAGAACTTTTCGATGACAATAAGTCCAAATAAATTGTCTGCATCTCTGATTCCCTGTACAATGTTCTTGGATTTGTCACCTTTCCAAATATCTCTAACTGAGCAATTAAAAGTTTTGTCTTGTAAATTCTGCTTGGCATAAATGTCTGCTTCGACTTTGTATCTGTTCGTTTCGATTTTCTACCAGTAGAAATGGTAACTTTTTTCTCCTCCTTTTGTTCTTCTTCGTCCTTCGTGTCCATTTCATTCTCATTAAATTCATTATCACTCTCATCATCGTCTGCATCAATTTCCATTTTATTATCAGGCTCATTCAAATTTTCTGCTTTCGAAATACTGCAACACTTGGCATCTTCGGAATTTGTCTGAAAGAAATTCTCGTTTACATAATCAATAAATATTCCAGTTAAGTCTCTGTTCTTCATTTCACAGTAATGCGAGAAACTTCCCATACACTTCCACAATAAAATTTTATGATTTTTATAATCAGGTTTGTCTTTGCTCGTTTGTATCGTAACTTCTATTTCAGAAATAATATCACACTCGTACAACGGTGAAAAGTCTGCGACTTCTTTGTGATCGCATTGTAATTCATTCAAGAATACTGGCCAGAATTGTTCACATTCTTTGGTAGCATACGTTGCAATAATCTTGCTTACAGGTTCCCATAATATAGAGAAATTTAAGTACAAATTCCCTAATAAATACCGCAATGGAAAATCAGTATACTTGGGATTTAAACCTGATAATACATTGCCATCAAATGCTAAAGCTTGTAAGTGCAATAATTTATTTCTGTAAGTTTGCACCGTTGTCGGTTCACATTCTGCTAGATACATATGTTCCATAGCACTCTTATCAGCGCTTGTGCCAATCGATTTAATTTCTTCAATGCTGTTGTACAAAGAATACAAATGAGTTACAATCAAACGAACTTCGCTGAAAGGAGAATTCAATTTCTGTGCAATACTGTTATTTATATTATCAAAAACAGTTGCATTTATATACATTTCCTGATATTCTGATGTATTAAAATACGTTATATATAAATCCACTACATTCAAAATGAATTTATTGTCTGGATATTTATTTAGAAGATCCACTATCTTTATATCATGTGTTTGTATAAAATTATGCAGAGTTTCAGGCTCCAAAATGTGAACTGCTGACTCAGAAGCCAATAGGAAACTGAAACATAATTTATTTATATCACGTTCTGTATTTACGTCATTTAATATCCGCCTATATAGAGATAATATCCCTTCTTTTAAGGTATCTATGAACTCTTTCGGCAAAGATTTGAAATGTGATATAATAATTAACATTTTCAATGTATCAATTGATACATCATCATCCAATAAACCTTTTAATCTTTTCAGGAAGAAGTCGATGCACTCTGGCTTAGCACCTCGAATGTCTAGAATGTATTTCCTCCACTTATTTAAATTAATACCATTTATAGACAGTGGAACTTTTGTTTTCACTATGTTGGCAAACAATTGCAAATAATCATCATTGAACTCGGTAGTAATACTATGTCGCAATATATGCGGTAATATCAGAGTTTCAAATGCTGAATAATCCATTAAACTTTCAACGGCCCAGTGTCGTAATTTAAGATCTTTCACAGTTATAATCTTCAGTACTATTTGGTTCGACGTCTCTTGCATTAATTTAATATTGTCTGCTAAAAGAACAGCAACTGCTACCTTTATAATTTCGTGTAGCACGTCGTTCTGATCCTCAAACATATCGAAAATCTGTACTAATTTTTTGATCAATGGTACTGGTTCTATAACGAACCTTCCATTTTTATAATTAACGACTGTAGATAGTAGGTGCATTACAAGTATCAAACTTTTTTCTCTCCCAGCAGTTGATTCAAAGCTTTTAGTCTTTTCGGCAGATGTGTTTATGACATTTAATAATACAGACCAGAATATTGAGCTTTTTTGTGGGTGCATATTCTGCAAAAAGCAGTTAATTATTACTTTCAGTACTTTAACCATTATGTCCTGATTGATGCTGTCATCGTTCAATGCATTAAAGTATAACAAAAGCATTTGTTCTGCACACGAGTGAAATTGCCCTGGTGTGCCAGCTATAACATCAAATAATAATTTTCCACCACCTGGTACTCCATTCGGATTTTCTTCCAGAATATTTATTATTATCCTTATGAAAGAATCTTTATCCTTAACTTTCCTCACTACAAATGCAAAACTCTCAGCTGCAAAATTGTTTATATAAGCCGGTTGTGTGTCTGCCAGTAATGGCAACAATAGATCCAACACAGTCTTGACATTTTTAACCAAATATCGCCATAAAAATTTGAACAGATAAGCCAATGCTGTAAATGTATACTCTATCTGTTCTGTGTCTTTGGTCCGCAATAGATCAATGATGACTGTTAGAAACTTCGGGAAATAATTGTAAAAATCCTTTTGCAGGTCTTTGGATAGGGCTACCACTAATCTAAACAAAATTCATATAAACACCTATTAAACATCCCTTCATCATACACACATGTTTGAACTGAATACTTACTCCAAAATTGGTTGTAAAAACAGAACATCCTTTTGCTCCAGGTACTCTATTAAGGTCTCAATCACGAATTGCTTCTGATTAATCAACTGTGGGAGCGTAACAATGTCGCGGACTTTCTTTTTAAAGCTACAATAACCTTCTGTAAGGTTAAGGAAATTCCATTTCTGAAGAGTCTGGTGAAAATACGTTTCGACCTCATCGTCGTCTTCCTCGTTTCGATGTCCGACACGGTGGAATACATCGACATCAATTTCACTTATCCTTTCAGAGAATGGTTTAAACTATAAAAGAAAAACTATTTAATCAACACTTCACGGTAAGACGGTTGTTGATTAGGTAAATGTCGTACCTGAAAGGTGTTGGATTCTTTATGACGGACTGGTTTGTTCTTCATGATGTTGAAATATATAAATACTTCGCATTCATTCAATTATATCTATCATTTATGAAAAATACCTAACAAAACAATTCGTATTGACATCCAGCCGCGCACACGTGCATTACTCACGTGTAATAGACGACCAAAGAAAAGCTAATAACAAGAGTATATCTCGACGGTGTTATAACGTAGAATGCAACTGAAAATCTCTGATTTTTTGCACGATCGGTATTTCAGAACATGTGACACGAAATCCCATAAGATGTTTGGTCTATTCTATATCTCGTCTGTGGCATTACATTACATTCTTATAACCCAGGGATATGTCAAACTTGTCAAACCCCACTTATGTATTTATAACATAATCACGTGTTACAAAATGTGAGAATAAATTATTTTGAAATCAAAATTAACGATTAGAAGTCCAATTATTTTAACGTAATTTGATGAATTAATCCAAAATGGCTCCTCTCACGGATTTACTTTCCTGTAGTATAATCGGTAGCTGTTATTTTAGACGCGTACGTACGTTAGTTTCTTTCAGTATTTATTATCTTTTGTTGAATTTTAGAAAAGGATTCTAACGGCGATGTATTGTGGACATGGTCTTATCCAGTCATTTTAGAATCACAAAAAGCAGTTGTTGGTAGAAAATGTAACTTAGAATCGGAGCACAACTCTTCGCAAGTATTTATATTTTCAAGGCATAAGCACCATTGGTTTTATATACATTGCAGCGAAGTATTTGATTCGGATAAATTACCAAAAGTAAGTTAAAGAAGTGTCAAAGCACAAAATAACTGTAGTACACGTAGAATGAAATTATTGTGTTTTATTTTCTTCAAATAGGTGAAACAGTTTGCTTTGGTTTTATTTGCAAAAGATTTTAATCCACGAAAATATGAAGTTCTTTCCAGAGTACTTAGCAAAATGTATTGCAAAACTGGAAAACCAACAGAGATCCTTCAATTGTACCTTTCTGTGTTCACGAAAGGATCTTGTTCAACCCAAGAAAATGGAACATTTGTTTCAGATGACTTCAATAGCCATCGTTTTACAGTGAATACCAACATAAGAGAATTAGTTAAAGCTTTTGAATTGGAAACTATATTAATATATACAGCTTTACTTCTGAAAAAGAGAATAGTAGTTTATCATCACAGTTTAGAGGAACTTTTGAAATGGATTGGACTGTTTCCTGCATTGATGAAACATCGTAAAGTTAGTGATAATTTATTTCCCTGGGTTGATTTGGTGGATGATGAACTGGCAGAATTAAAGGTATCAAATCAATGGATAATTTACAATTTGTATTTACAATAAGTTTTAAGTTAATAAATTTTTTATAGAGACATTCCCATTATGTTGCTGGCTGTAGAAATAGCTCAATATCATCAAGAACAGACTTATTTGACCTACTTGTAAACATTCCAGCTAGAGAAATTACTGTTGCCTCGCATGCAAAAGGTAAACAACATGTTTTTAAAAACTGTTCTGCTCTGTTAAGTGTACTATATTATGCAGTATATGGTTTTTCATTCTAGAGAGTCTTACAATGACAAAAACACATAAAGAAATAGCTCTCTTCATGGTTCAGTTGTCTGAAAATCAGACTTATACAGAAGCCCAAATAATATCTGAGATTAATGACAAAACTCAGGACCTACTGAATCAACTAACATCTTTAGCTGTAGTTCAAGGACCTGATGGAAGAAAGATGGTTTCTGCGCAAACGTTAAAGGAAAAAAATTTACCATTTGCTGTAGAAAACTTCCTAATTAATTTGGCTGTTGCAGAAAATTTATTTCTAGTATAATGAATTATATATATATATATATTTTTGTAAATAAATTCATTGAATCGAAATGTATATATGCGTTGTTCATTAATCCCATCACCTTCCTCCTAATTCCTATTACTTTATTAATTTCTTCTTAAAGAAATCTGTATAAATAAGTACAATAACAAGCACGTAATTAATTTTCTTAATAAAAATGATATTTTAATTTATTCTTGTATCAACAACCTCGAAACTTGTGAAGCCATAATCTCGGATCATAAATTAATATCAATATTCTAAAAATTACATGATTGGCAACGTATACATAAGAGACCCCGTGTGTTGCACCGTGGGGTCATAGAACCCCCGGTGGAGGCGCCAGAGTCCCCGTGTGGCGAGAAAGTGGGGTCATAGAACCCCCCGGTGGAGGCGCCAGTGGCCCGCGTGGCGAGAAAGTGGGATCATAGAACCCCCCGGTGGAGGCGCCAGAGACCCCGTGTGGTGAGAATTGGGGTCATAGAGCCCCCAACAGGTGGCGCCAAAGACCTCGTGTGGCGAGAAAGTGGGGTCATAGAACCCCCCGGTGGAGGCGCCAGTGGCCCGCGTGGCGAGAAAGTGGGGTCATAGAACCCCCCGGTGGAGGCGCCAGAGACCCCGTGTGGTAAGAGCGTGGGGTCACAAAACCCCCAACAGGTGGCGCCAAAGACCTCGTGTGGTGAGAGCGTGGGGTCGTGGAACCCCCGGTGGAGGCGCCGGAGACCCCATGTGGTGAGAAATTGGGGTCATAGAGCCCCCGTAGCATCCGTATGTGACCCCGTGTGTGTGAGATGTATGTACATATTTATTCTTCAGGTACAACTTATAATGTGTATATCGTGTATATTTTATACATACGTTTATGTTTATATGTTTTATATTTTATATTAAATATTTAAATAAATATATAAAGTATAGTATTGTATTTTATTCTCTCTCAACGCAAAAACAACTTTTTTGTTGGGTATCAAGGTTAGGAAAATTTAATTCGATTCAAATAGGTATCGACACTTCTGTTTCGATACTGAGTAAGTATCGATACCTTAGTGGTAACTCTCTTTGTTTGCCACTTCAATTTATGCAATTTGACACTGCGTATGTTCTTATTTCCTTATATCTCTGATTGAATCTCGCGTTCTCGATCCTCTTTGATTCAACGAGCAGTAAATTTGAAAACAGACCTTAAGGATGTCTAATGTTAAGCCCACTTGCCGTTCTCAATGCGATCACAATCTATACAAGCATAATAATAATAGCAATACAAATTTATTATAAATACAGTAGCGATGGTAAACTAAATTGCATTATTCTCGATAATCTGATCGATGTTTATCATCTATGTTTGAAACATTTCGAAATCGGGTTGCTTGATTTGACTTACATATTACGGGAAGCCATTTTTGCATAGTGGCCGCCTTTCATCCGGTACACGCGGTCCGGGGTCCGTCGTGACAAACGTCGTGTCGTTAAAAACGTAAATTCCAGATTTTCCTCACGGATTTACCGGATTTTACGGTGGCTTGTATGGTGTGAAATTAACTATATTCGTGCAAGAAAATGGCGCGATACGGGCAAAGACCTGAGAATGCTCTCAAAAGAGCAAACGGTACGTATACTGCTGGGTAACAGGACGATGTGACATGGCCGATGGATATTTAATCTAGACTCAAAAAATTCATTCGACCCGTCAGCATTGATTTCAGATGATCTACAGCGTCTTCCGTTGACCACGTGTCTTTCCAGCACGGGTTAATCACCACAAACGATATTCCTACTTGTCGCGACTAATTTAAATAAGCTATAGTTATATCTATCCGATTTTTTTTTAAATCTCAATTTTACACAACCATATGCCGACACAATACAATTACGCGAGTAGCATACCAAACGGAGCGTGCCCCAATTAATCATTACAAACGAAACACAATGCTTTCTTACTCTCACTCCATATGATATTACGCGGATGAAAAAAGTATTTGGCTATGTTAAATAATTCCATGTATGTGTTTTCCTTGTACTGATAAAAATTCATTTTAATGGCCCCATTTTTTTGCTCCATCGGATGCTGTACGTATATTTTCTCCAAGCTGCTTCATGCTGTTATCATTGATCTGACTTTGACAATACTAGTGGCTATTTATTTAATCTGTTATATAAACTTTGAGTACAGTTTTATAATATAGCTTGATGCAACATTCTGATGTGTCAGATGGGAGTGCAAGTGATTAAAGTAGTCAGTTGGATGTTGTTCATAAATGTTGATGACATGAGTTTTTTCTTTTTTTCTTACAGAATTCATTGAAGTAGGGAAGCCAGCTCGGGCATTAGATACTTTGCAAGAAGTCTTCCGTAATAAAAAATGGACGTACAACTGGTCAGAGTCCGTTTTGGAACCGATTATGTTCAAATACCTGGACCTTTGTGTCGAACTGAAAAAGTCGCACATAGCGAAGGAAGGATTATTTCAATATCGAAACATGTTCCAGTCGGTCAATGTTGGAAGTTTAGAGAATGTTATACGTGGATATTTGCGTATGGCAGAGGAAAAAACAAATCAGGCAAGGAAACAGAGCCAACAGGCTGTAATAGACATAGACGATCTTGACAACTTGGCTACACCTGAGAGCATTTTATTGTCTGCTGTCAGTGGAGAAGATGCGCAAGATAGAAGTGACCGTACCATCCTAACACCTTGGGTGAAATTTTTATGGGAATCTTATTGCCAGTGCTTGGAATTACTTAGAACCAACGCGCACGTAGAAACGTTGTATCACGATATCGCGCGTATGGCCTTCCAATTTTGTCTCGAATACAGTCGTAAGACTGAATTTCGTAAACTGTGCGAGAAGTTGAGGAAACATTTAGAAGAAATTTGTAAATTACCTGCACTCGTCTCGAATGTTTCCATGAACAGAGCTGAGACGCAACAGCTGAACCTTGAAACGCGATTGAATCAGCTTGATTCTGCTATTCAAATGGAACTATGGCAGGAGGCGTTCAAGTCTTCTGAAGATGTGCATGGTATGATGAACTTGTCCAAGAAGCTTCCGGTACCAAAAACCATGGCCAATTATTATCAGAAATTGGCCATGGTTTTCTGGAAAGCAGGCAACTATCTTTTCCATGCCGCTGCACTGTTCAAATTGCTGCAGCTTTCCCGTGAAATGAAAAAGAACATGTCAATGGAAGAACAGCAGAGAATGGCCAATCGCGTGTTATTGGCTACATTGTCTATTCCACTGCCATCGGCTCATCCAGAATTTGATCGTTTCATTGAAACGGATAAAAGTCCATTAGAGAAGGCTCAGAAGCTTGCTACGCTTCTGGGACTCACTCAGCCGCCGACAAGGGTTTCCTTGCTCAAAGATATTGTTCGTTTGAACATAGTAAGTTTAGCATCTCCGCAATTGCAAGAACTATACTCGTGGCTGGAAGTCGAATTCCATCCTCTGGAGCTGTGTAATCGAGTAGATTCTGTCATTCAGACTCTACAAACCGACGAAAATAGTCCGTTGGTTCAGTATATTCCAGCCTTGCAGGACGTAACACTTGTTCGTTTGGTTCATCAAATATCGCAGGTTTATCAGACCATACAGTTTGCTAGGCTTCTGGAACTTGCAAAATTTACGACAGACTTTCATCTGGAACGTCTCTTGGTCGACTGTGTAAGATACAACGACATGCAAATACGAATTAATCACGGAAAGAAATGTGTCCACTTTGGAGTCGATCTGTCCGAGGCTCAGAGGGAGGATCATCCGGATGGTCCAGTCCTGCAAGCGATGCCCTCGGAACAAATTCGTTGTCAGCTTGTAAATATGGCGACTGTGTTGCATAGAGCGATCAATATTATAAATCCGAATAAAAAGAAGGCGGAACGCGAGAAAACGCGTACTGCGATGGTGGGTCACTATCACGAAACGAAATTGAAGGAACATCAACGAATTCTCGGAAGGCACAAGATCATAGAGGAAAGGAAGGAGTATATCGAGCACATAAACACCGTCCGAGAAGAGGAGGAGATGCGTAGACAGGAGGAATTGCAGAGGCAGCAAATGTTGGCTGAGCAGAAGAGGCTCGAACAGGAGCGGGAGGAGCGTGAAAGAAAACGGCAGCAAAGTGAAATACAACAGATCAAGGATCGCCACCTCAAAGAGAAGATGCAACAGATCTCTCAAACTAGTCACGGTCAGAAGGTACTCAAGAAATTGGACGAGGATGAAATCAAGAAATTGGATGCGGAACAGATCGCGGCCCGGGAAGCAGAAGAGTTGCAGAAGGAACGCAGAGAAATGCAACAGAAGCTGAAGTCTCAGGAGAAGAAGATCGATTATTTGGAACGTGCCAAACGTATAGAAGAGATACCGTTGCTGGAGAAAGCGGTCGAGGAGAAGATGGAGCTGGCCAAGCAACGCTGGGAGCAACAAGAAGCGGAAAGAATCGCCGCGGCTATCGAGGAGAGACAGCAGGCTGTCGCGACCAGAGAACGTATGGCTAGAATGAAGGAGGACCACGATAGTTTCTTGGCGAAGATTCTCGCCGAACGGAAGAGTATTTACCTTGAAAAGCTGACAGAATTCGAAAAAGTATTGAACGAGGAGAGAACAAGTAGATTACTGAAGCGCAAGGTTGAGCGTAAGGCTGAACGGAAAGAAAAATGGGAGAACGAACGTGCTGAGGCGTTGGAGAGAAAACGCGAGGAGGAATTGCGTATTAAGCTGGAAGAGGAGAAGCGACGAGTCGAGGAGGAGAAGGCAAAGAAGGAGGAAGAAGAGAGAGCAAGACGTGCCGAAGAGGAAGCGAAGGAAGCCGAACGTTTGGCGAAGATCGAGAAACAGGCCGAGATTACGAGAGCCAGGGAAGCCGAGATCGAACGGAAGTTGGAGGAAGAAAGACAGAGGGACAAGGAAACGCCTGACACATGGAGACGTCAAAATATACAAACGAAACCAACAAGTAAATTCACTGGCTTATCGAAATATTATTTAATTTCATTCGTTCTTGTATATTATTTTCTACGTGCAATACAATTTAATGATTGGTACAATTGATAGGTTATGTAACACAGGTTTCTTTCTATAATTATAGCGGAAATGTCTTGGCGTCGAAACATTGACTTGAAGGAGGACGGTATTAAAGAGGACGGACGTTGGAAGAGACGCGAAGCAACGGATAATAAATGGCGAAAAGACGATATAGAAAAACCGAAGAAAGATGGCGAAAGACCTGAAAGGATCGAAAGACCCGATAGGTCCGAAAGGCCCGAACGATCCGAAAGGCCCGAACGATCCGAAAGGCCCGAACGATCCGAAAGGCCCGAACGATCCGAAAGGCCCGAACGATCCGAAAGGCCCGAAAGATCCGAAAGGCCTGAAAGATCCGAAAGACCTGAAAGATCCGAAAGACCTGAAAGGTCAGAAAGAACTGACAGATCGGAAAGATGGCGACGGGATGACTATGATAAGGATGATGCTCGAGATAGGGACAGGGATAGAATAGATAAAGATCGTGGAATGGACGGACGTTCGGTAAGCATATACTGATGATACGAAAATGTATTTATCGTAATGTTTAAATATACGTTTACTTTTACAGATACGCGATATTCCACGTGATTCGATATCGGATGGAGCTCGCCGCGGTGGCAGGATGCCCGAACGTCGTGGATTTACTGTTGGCCATCGTCGCGATGAACCGATGCGTAGTAGCAACAATTGGCGCGACAAAAGCGACGCGGTACAAAATTCTCCTCGGGATGCACCACCCCCCAGACGCGAGGAAAAGTAAGCATAGTTACAGATTGAAGCATACAACTCGTCTTTCTCCGATTTCGAGACGTATTTTTGCAAGATTGTAGCGTATTGTGCCCTGTTGTCTGTAAAATCAATTGTCTGTGAATTCAAATCAATAATTCGCTCAATAATTTACGTACCATGTATATTTACTTCAGTATTAGTAAAAGTAACGTACTAAGAAACGCTGTTTCAATTGACAGGCGGGATGATTTGAAAGATGACAGACTTCCACCGAAACACGACGAAAGAAGGCGACCACCAGAGGACGACGGATGGTCGCAGGTCAGTAGCCGGCGTTAATATAGGACTTGGAAACTACCTATAGAAGCAACGATTTACTATTCATCAAGAACAGTGCATAATACGCAGTTAGACTTATGCCTGGAACTATATGGTGGGCCCAATTCTACCGTTTTGTGCACCGCTTCGTTTCTCCTCCGATATACTCGTAACGATTCAAAGAAAGCACAAAGACGATCGATCGTTAGTCAATTCACGCATGTGTCATCACGTGGACTAAAAGAAACAGAAAGAAAACTGTAAAACACTATTGACAGATAACAATGAGTATCTATGATTTTTTTTAACAATCATGCAGCACACGAATTTTTTTAAAATCAACAGCTCACTGCGTTAACCTGCATTAGAGTTTGTAAAAAAAAAACGAGAACAGTCGGGACAGTATACATAATTAATTAGTCTGTTACAATTGTATGTGAAATATGAATCAGTGTCAGAGCAGAAGAGATGGTGAATTGTATGGGTGCCGAAGAATTGAATTGGCTAGGTAAACTAACTAATGGCAGAGGTGGAAAGTTTCAAAACATCAATAAAGTTTTCTTGTATCCCAATTGTAATGTTAATTCTTTTGTTTTTTTGTATGAAGTCTGTAACGTCGTGTCGCACCTTTTCCTAGAGAGGAAGATGTCGCTAATGTTCGTATACATTCGTGGCAACTATATTTTTAGCTTTTATGATAGTCACGTTTTGAGATCGGCGCAAATGCTGCCTTTTTTTTTTTCTTTAAGTAATATAAATGAAGATCTACGCATCTTGTCCATATTGTATTTGTAATTGTTTTATTACATTTATGATAACGGTAAATAATGACGACGCTACGTAATAAATAAATCACTACAGAGTATCAAACTCCGTTTCTATTTACATCCTATAAAACTTCGTCGATAGAAGGTCCGCGAATCTGTATGTCCACTTCATTAGTTTTATTTATACAAGAGATTAAAATAAAAACGTAGTAGCAAATACGTAAAAAGCAAAGCACAAGCTACCTTTCTTACGAATCTAATATTTAATCGTAATGTTAAAAATCCACGAACAAGAATAGAAGAAACTTGTCTGAGAACGGACACTTAAAACGCATGAGAAAATATAAAATTAATCGAAGAATTCGTAATATTACACTGGACCGTGTCAGAGCCGTATAAATGTTTATAATTATGAACCTTATTTAATTAATTAAAATTATAATATAACTCGGCGATATGTAATGTACACTAAATTTTAATCGCACAACAGTATTCCCATGTTCGTAATAGAAACATTCATCAATTACACGCTCTGATTTCCATTTCCGATAATTTTAGCGTCCCAAAAAGCACGGCAGTCCCGATCTGTTTTCGCAACCCGTCGTTGATCGAAAAAAATTGATTTCACGAAAGTTTTAAAAATATCGAACTTGCATCTTTTCTTCCGCTTGTAATGTGATATCTCTTGCCGAATATCGTTTCATAAAATCTTACAAAAAAAAAAACACTGTTAAATCTCACAGAACATTCTGAACATAAACTTTTTATATCCGAATAACCTCAAAAGAGGTTACGAGTATTAAATTCATGTTTGAAAGTAGATCCAGTTAATTAACGATTTAAACGGCTGTACGCCCGATCTCCTGGTATGAATTCCATTTTATTTCCGCTGGCGTATTTGTTTTGAAGAAAGCTACACGCGTTAAACGTGCCGGCAAACTAGGAACTTTACAAAAAATACGTTCTTGGAGAGCCGGAAGTGGTGCTCTCTCCATAATCGGCTCCCGTTCTAAGCAGCGGCAATACGCGAGCCGCTGTTTAATTTCTGTAATGGATCCCTGCCTGAGTCCTTCGCTCTTAGAAAAGTCCACGGATTCAATACAGCATTATTGCTGCGGCGGTCTTCTCCTCCAATGCTGGAATTGCTTCCAGACGTTCAATTTTGTCCCGTCCTGAGCCCCAGCCGACCAACGCTATGCTGATTAAATGCACCACACCGGCGCACACGACCAGCCTACGAAAACAACAACAGAACGAACAACTTAACATGGGTCTGCCGTTCTGTCACCGGAGAACCGAAAATCAGACTCTGCAAACAACATAATCAGAATGTATAATTGTTTATTCATGATTCGGCACTTTATTCTTATTTATAAGTAGACTGTGGGATTTCCTGTATTTATAGTTTCAATACAGTCTTTTCATTACCTAGATAAACCACTCGTCAAACTAACAGATTTCTCTCATTAATTCCTTTCCCTATGAATTCAATCCACAAAATGAATTTCTAACATACACCTGCAATGTATTCAGAAGAATTCTATAGGTTGCTGTACTCAACTGTAAGAAAATCTTGAACTGTTCAGCAGTACACTTACAACTGACTAACATTTAATACTCATCAAGTATTGGATAAGTTCTAAGGATTGATGTTTCCAAATTTCTAATCCAATTATGAATAGTGAAGATAAAGCAAAAAATGTATTTTTAGTCTGTGTTATATTTCAACATGATGCAGGAAAGAAAGTACTGGTATTAGATGGTACCATTGAGGGTGTAAACGATGCTTTTTCTCAGAGCGACTATTCCAGATCGCCCTGAAAAGCGTCAAGGACTCAGAAGACATTTATTGTATTGAACAGCCGGCTTTAGAACCCGCGAACGATGAGGCATGGAATCATGAGCGGCAGTTTGTCCGAGGCTTCGCGTGCTCGCGATACTCCATCGCCATTGAGCAAAGAATAAAAGGCCTCTTACCAAAATGAATAACCAAGCTCGGCAGAACCCTCGCTGGTCCACATATTGTCGATGTCCTCCTTCGGCAGCACATTGAAGTACAGCTTTGTGTAATACTGCGCCAGCCAGGTGCTCGTGCTAGCGAGGCACATTAACACTGAAACGAAACCCAATTACGTGAAACGTTATGCATACATGTTTACGTTCCTCTTCATTTACACAAAACGGCAACTTGTTACTTTTAAAGAAAGTACATAAAACTAATACAATATACGTATCAATGACGAATCCAGTATTTTCTTGACCCTCATCCGTCCCTTGCGTCAAACTGACACATTTGTCTCCTAAGAAATTAAGTTATTCTATCTTATGTAGGTAAATTTAGCTGAGGCTTCGTGATTTTTACTTTAACGAATTTGCAAATTTAACTATTTATCGTTTCATTATACTAATTTTTAGTATTGGGTCACTTTGACACCGAGGGACAAATTCAGTTAGGAAAATAAGGGCTAACAAGATGGCGGTGAAGCTTAAGGGTTATCCTTTTTACCAAAAATAAATAACTTTGATTTTTTTTAAATTAATCCTTTTTGTACTAAATAAATACAGTACCAAAAATATTAGAAATAGAAATATGAGCCTTGAACTTTTCGATGGTTACCATAACAGGTATAACTTAACCAAAAAAACAATTTTCGTTTTAATCTCTTTGAATTTTTAAGACCGATACACTGGCAATTTTACTTTTTGGGGATTCACGTTCGAGTGACTTACGGGTTAAAATGTTTATGAAGTATACACCGGGGTCGGAGAGGATTTTCGATCTCGGTGATGTGGCCGTGTTCAAAACGGCAAGAAGCGCGGCGAGTCCAGCGGTGACGAGGGCCGCCGATGTCGTCGTCAGGGTGCTGATCCACAGACCCCAGGACATCACCGTTGGATCCTGTCGGATCATTTGGGGAACTAGAGCAGACCAACAATAACGAATAATGTTTGTCAATATTTTTTTACATTATATAATGTTTTTATAATGTTTTATTTTTAATTAAAGAAATACATCCTGAAAATGTAAACCCCCCGCGAGAGGTTCGAGGAAAAGATGTGAATTTTTTTCGCTCGACCATTCTCACTTACGTGTACGGAAGATTGTCTGATTTCAGACGTTTCTGCACCCGAATGTTTTATAGGTTAGTAACTCGAAAACCGAAGCCACCAACAAAATTTCGTCATTCTTGATTTTCGTTTTAATTTGACATGTCGAATCACCTTTCGAAGTTTCCTTTAAAACGAACACCCTCTATGTTTTTAACCTACGCAATAAAGCCAAAAAACAGAAGGAACGCTACGATTTTTCGTCCGAAGGATGGAAAACACTCGAGTCGAGTGGGTTCTGGTTCGTCTTCTTCGGTCCAATATTTAAAATTTTATGTAGTGTTTGTACAGAATGCAACATTTCTGTTGCGTTCAAAGGACGGACTTCATTACTAATCTAGACAGGTATCGGACGGCGAAACTTCCGTTTCCCTTTGAAGTATGTATACCTTTTTCCACCGGTGTTGGGGGGGGGGGGGGGT